ACTATATAATAATGTACACAATGTTTCCATTTTTGAGAAAGTAGTTGATCAAAAACTTCAACAATGGAAAATTTATTATCAAAAAGAGCAAGGTGCTATTGCTAATCGAATAGCTATAAATGCTGGCAATGAAACATCCGATGAGGAATCTGAGAGTGAATCTGAAAAAGAATCATTATCTGATGAAGAAGATGAAAAAACATTGCAAGTACAAGTGCATAAAAAAGGCCAGGTTAATTTACATTTTTTTAATATTTTAATGTATGAAAAGGACAGAGGTACATAAATATTATCCTCAATAGAATTTCATGAGAAATCGTTCCGTAACAAAATAATGCCTTTTCTGAAGGATTCAAATATTCACACTTCACTACAAGATAAAAAATATCCATAGTTTATAAGTGAACGTCTTCAACTGTCAAAGTGTTTTTTAATTCGAGTATGTGCTTAAACGATAGACCTTAATGAGCTATTAAATATCCTACAAGGATTTGGTTGTCTAGGCTTTGATTATCGAAATTTTACTAGATTTTTTACCAAAAAAATCGCAGCCTTTCTCAGATCAGATCGAAAATCAAGTTTCTAGTTCCGATTTTAAACTTGAGAGAACGAAAGTTCTTAATGAGATTAGTTGATTGTGCAAATTTTAGTTTATCTAGTATTTCTTTTCTAGAGATATAAATTTTGCTTTTACACATGCGAGAATTTCACATACTGAATATTTCCAGAAATGAAAGACTGGATAAGCAAAAGCTTGCACAATCAATTAATCTCATTAAGGATTTTCTTTGAATCAAGTTGTAAATCAGAACTAGAAAGTTGATTTTCGATCTGATCTGAGCAGAACTACGATTTTTTGTTGAAAAATCTAGTAAAATTTCGATATCTCGATAATGAACGTCTAGAAAACCAAATCTTTGCAGGATATTGAACTTGTTCTAATCAAACTTTGTTAAAGATCGACGAGAAAATGGTATCGTAACAAAATTCGCGTGGTCTTATTTAGAGTTCTATTGTTTTTCTATATCTTTGTATATTAAGGAAATAGTGAATTGAAATGTAAACGTAACTAAATCATTTTCATTCAAATTTGAAACAATATTGATGTGAATATTCAACCATCTGAACTGAAATTTTTACTTGAAAAAGAAAATATGTATGAACCATAGATTTATGATTCCAAAGCAAAAAGTTGCATCCTTGAGAAATGACATCAGTTTTTTATTAGATGATTCTTCATGGAATTCTAAATTACGTAGACTACAAATAAAGTGACACTGAGAATAAATCTGTGCATATTTTATTTATCTATTGATTAATATAGACAATTCAATCGATTAAACAATCTGATATTCTCATCGATCCAGTTAGTCAATGTAAACGACTTCTTCAGTTTTTATATTATTGTCAACAAGATCATACTCATTTGATTGATCTTTATTTTCGTACTCTTGATTATTGTGTTAAAAATGATAATGAAAAGATTGGTGCTGCAGCTTTACAACAAATTGCATTACATTTATCAGATGATATTAGTGATCAAAAACAATATCAACGACTTATTCGATTACTTCCATCAAATTTATCATCTTCTACTATACCTGAAATACATAAACCTATCTTAACAACAATTGAAATTCTTCGTTCAAGAGAACAAACTACTAATCAAGATATGTTAACAATTATGTCATCAAATGATCTTGATATTCTCTATCCATATAAAGCTCGTTTTCTTGATTTACATCGTGAATTTCGTGATAGTATGCATTATTTTATTGATGGTGATTCATTAATTCTATCTGTTGCTCATCATATTAATATTGATCTTATTTCATATTATGGAAATACACTTCATGTTATTTTTATTATTGAACGTATTCTTCTTACACTTTTTAATCAAACACAACAATCAAATTATACATTAATATTTTTTGATTGTCATTATCAATATTATGAAAAAGAAAAGTCTATATTAAGTCTTATTCGTGCTTGTCTTATAAGTCATCTTTCAAAAAATATTAACAAATATGGATCATCAAAAGTACGAAAATTTTCAACATGGCTTGATAATGAATATATTAAATTTATTTATGAAGAAAAACCA